CACAGATGTTGTTTGATAATACAGTATAAAATATGTATTTGTCAAATGATTGGGATATGATCTACTTAAGCTTTATAAATGGCTTGATTTAAATATTAGAGATGTGATAAATTATTTCCTGATTTTAATACTGACTGGAGCATAAGCAAAATGGCAAATTTCAAAAAGCAATCATGAATATAACTGAATTAATGTAATATGCTTTCAATAGACTATAATTGAAGTGAATGGCAATGATCTCCATAAGGAAGATAACCTTAGGTCATGATTAGTGGTATCATTGTTAAATACCGTTGCCTCCTTAGGTTGACACCAACCAGTGGAACTAAAGATTAGAAAAGATTAGAATGTTCTGCCCATGCTGAGAAGTCCCATCAACTGGCCTTAGGAAGTAGGATGAGCCCTTCTACTGATTAGTTTGGGTTGGTGCTATCCATATCTCCTGTCCTGGATTCCAGGCCATTCTTTGTTATAATGTAGGTGGCCATAGGAAGTCATTGAACAATTTATGGAGGACATGAATGGTAAACGGGAGAATACATTTTTTGACATATTTTGATGGTTTTTCCACTTCACCATGTAGCCCTCACCACCAATCTGAAGGTCTATGGGATGGGGAACTGTATTATAAAGCAGGAGACAATGAATTTTATGCCAACTTTTTTTCTATCAACTGAAAGATATGTAGGAAGCATTACAAGTGGATAGTGGGGAAAGCCCCTAGATTTCTCCATTGTTGTTCTAATTTCTTGATTTTATTGTTGCCCAAGCTTGACTTCCTTTCCGTGGATTGAAAAACCTGGGAAAATACTAGATAATATTTGAAGTTACTTAATCTTAAACCACACAAGAATATAATCATGTGAACTGTGAATCACCCAGAACTGGTTTGGAGTCAGGTGGTGCCTACATTGAATTAATTTTCAAACCTGAAAATTATTTTGTTTTTCATATTGCAGAACTAAAGCTCCCCTAATAGCATATTAATGGCATTAAAAGAGAGATGTTAATCTCATTTATATTTAGCCTTTCTCAAAAGTTTAACACAGTAGTTACGAGTACATGTTAGCACTTGAAAGTTTACCAATGTGCTTGGCTGATAGCTACTGTGTTTAATTATCCTATGACCCTTGAGTGGTATGCAGCTCATACTACTTGTCTTCTATGCAAGCAGACAACAACAGTTCCTAAGAGAATATATTTAAACATGTCAAGACTCTGAAATATTGTAATTTCTAAAATCATATCCATGCATTGAGCATAATTAGAATGGAAACTCTTAGGACTATACTACTTCAGTAGAAAGAAGGGAGACTGAAAGTATTTTCATATTTAGAATTACAATATCAGGAAAAAGTTATTTTTTTAAAAAATATTGTGAAGAAGCGCTTTGAAAGAATAAAATAGGACATATCCTAATAGAGAAATGCTTTTGTATCTTCCTATGTAGCCTAACTACTAGTGTTGCTCTGTAATAAAATATAATCCCTGACAATAGGAAAAAATTCTACAGCATCAGAAAAATACACATACACAGACTGATACTCAATGGAAAGTGATCTCACTGCACTGTAAGTCATTACTTTTAAGTTTTTGTTAAATAACTACCCCGTTTCCTCAAAAATAAGATCTGGTCTTATATTTTTTTTGCCTCCAGAAGAGGCATTAGGTCTTATTTTCGGGGGATGTCTGATTTTTTTCATCACAAGGCTCAGCTTGGCAGGGCGCCCCCGTGCCCCAGGTTTCACTCGGTGGGGGAGGAATGCCTTCTCATTTATATTGTAATCTGTACTTTTATTTATCAGAAAAAATATTTGTATTTACCTCGATCGTGATTAGCGTCCTTGAACGC